GGGATTGAGGAAAGAGGGGGAGCAGCGGGAGGAGTCGGGATCGAGGGAGGGGAGGGGGAATCGATGGGGATGAGGAGGGTGGGGCAGGGAGAGAGGGTGAGGAGGAGGGAGGAGGGAGTACGGAGGAGGAGGGACGAGGGAGGAGGAGGAGAGAGGAGTAGGGAGCAGGAGGAGGGAGGAGGAGGGAGAATGGAGAACGGAGGATGGAGGCTGAGGAGGGAGGACTCGAAGGAGGACAATATCGAGGGTTGGAGGAGAAGGGAGGATGGAGGGAGGACGGGGAAGGAGGACGATGATGATGTAGAAGGGGAGAGGATCGAGAGATGAGGACAATGACGATGGACGGACGAGGCCGGAGGATGGAGGGAGAGGAGGAGGGAGGAAAAGGGAGGAGTAGGGAGGAGGGAGGAGAATGCTGGCAATGGAGGGAGTGTAATGTGATGTTCCGTTGAGAGTTGAGCGGGCAGGAGGAGAAGGTGCTAAAAGAGGGTGAGGTAGTCGGGGCGGACCAGAAAGGGGAGAAGAAGACAATCGAAGACTGGAGGAGGTGGGCATAGGAGGCAGAGATGGTGGAGGAGCGCGAAGAGGGCGAGGAGGAGGAGGAGGTGGTGGAGGAGGAGCGTGAGATTGCGGGGCAGATCACGGAGGTGGAGCCGCTGGAGGAAGACGAGGAGGAGGAGGAGGTGGGGCAGGAGGTGGCAGCAGGAGGAGGGTGTCGGCGAGGAGGATGTCCGCGAGAACGAACAGGAGGAAAATGAGGTGGAGGCGAAGGAGCTGTTGGAGGAGATTGGGGTGGCTGGAAGGAGGAGGTGGCCAAAGAGGAGGAGGTGGCTACAGAGGAAGAGATGCAAAGAGAAGGAGGAGATGGTGGAGAATGCATGGGAGGAAGAGGAGGTGGCGGAAGAGGATCAGGTGGCGGGTGAGGTTGCAGAGGACAAGCGGGAGAGAGGGACATGGCGGAGGAGGATGGATGAGGTAGCTGGGGTGGACCAGGAGGGCTAAGAGGGGATGGTGCAGAACTGGGAGGAGGTGGGGAACCAAGACAAAGTGGCGGAGGAGAATGGGATGGTAGAGGAGGGGAAGGTGGGAGGGGAGGGAAGATTCATTCCGTTTTTGCTCATCCTATCGATGGAATGTGTGTGTGTGTGTGTGTGTGTGTGTGTGTGTGTGTGTGTGTGTGTGTGTGAGAGAGAGA